GCTAGGAAGTGGGTGAGCCAGACTTTAAATAATCCAGGACAGGCTGTACTCTCTCTGCTATGCTTTCTGGTCAGGGATGATGACTATTAAAGCACCTAAAGACTCAAAATACCATCCATGTGTGAATAATGGAATTGATGATGAAAGGCCCCATTCTTTCAACCAAATCATCCGAAAAGTTGAGGAAAAGAATACAATTCATAAAGGAAGCATTACTTTTAGCAGTGATTCCTCAGTTGTCTTCAGTGTTCTGTAAGATATTACTAGACTCTTGTTCAATAAAATACTCATGGGTAGATCAGCATGAGCACTGTGTGCTATGGCTCTTTTTTAGAGAAATGCAATACAGACTCACACACTGTGAGAAGTCTGAGACTGTGCTTAAAACAGTAACACCCAAAACTGTGGGCACTGGAGTTTGTGGACTCCACAGAAGAAAGTTAAAGAAACAATAACGCATATGCCTAACTCTTCATAGGAGGTATATTCCTAGAATGTGTATGAATTAAAATCTTGTAAATCAATCCTATTTGGAAAAAGAAGAAATATTCTAATTTAAAGGAAACAGAATTTTATACCGAAAAAAAGCCACCCTCAAATTTATTCATTAATATAAATCTATGTTAATACATTGGGTTTTCCTGAATAAAGTTATGTCAGTGTCTGTAAAATCAAGAGGAAATAACTATATTTTCTAAAATTTATAACTCAGTTTTATTATTCTTGATAATTGAAAGGAAAAGCTAAAATGGTATCTTCATCATCAAGAAATTTTTATTCTTTTTATGAAACAATGAAACCACATTGTGAAGATTGACTCACAGGGAACTAAGATGTTATCTGGATTCTTTCCCTTGCCTGTGTTTTGTTTTTGTTGTTGCTGTCATTTTTAAACACCATTTTGTTCTCCATTTGAAAATATAAATGAATTAGATAAAATCTTTAAGTAGTGAAAAGTTAAATTGCTTTTTCACTTCCTGTTTCATTTCATTTTGTCCTAATGTCGCCCTTGGTTAGAAAAGAAGAATTAAGCATTTGGATTAGATAATTTGTGCAGGGATGGAGGCAGCACTGAAAATGGAAAGGGCGTGGTCTGGGGAGTGAGACTGCCCTAGATATGAAATAACAGGAAGCTGCTATGTGACAGACACAATGATAGATGCCATTTCCACATTATTTGATTTTCACAACAGCCCTCCTTCTGAAGATGGGTAGTATTTTTAAACATGAAGACTTGGTCCTCAGCTGGGTTGAGTGACTAGATGGATGCCATGTTTCCTGTCAGAAGTAGAGAGAAGAAGCTGTGACTCTGAACTTCATCCACGGTGGTCCTCAGCTGTGAAGAGACCCTGGTCAGAAGGGATAGGTGATTGCAGAGTATATGGCAAGGGGTCTGCAGAAAAAGGAATTCTACATCCAATATTGCTTTCCAAGGACCATAATCAGGAGGAAATTATTTTTCTCTGCATGCTATGAAATCTAAAATTCTTTTACTGGAGAAGCACATTTGTTACGAGTGGTAGTTTCCAGGATACATTAGTGATTGAACAAACTTTATGAACTCGTATGAAAAGCTAATCATCATTTATGGTTCTATTTTTTTAACAAAGTGTATCCTAACTTAAAAATAACTAGCCTACAGATATTTAGAACATAAGCCATCCATAAATCTAGGATTGCTACATAAAGAAATTTGCTTTCAAAGTTTAAATTCATAAATCACAAAGTTGATTTCAGATGTTTTACTCAGATGCCTGCTTTTATCGAATTTTTATTTCATTTCCTGCCTATTTTAGAAAAGGAGTTTCTCCTATATCTATTTATTTATGCCTGTGTTTTGGAATCATTGCCTGTGTTCTATTTATGCATTTATTTTTCCGAGATCAAACCCTTTATTTCTGAAAGGTAGCAGCTTTACCAAGATATTAGTAAAAAAGATTTGAATAGTCCCAGACAATTTGTTGTGCTCTATTCTTAATAATGAGCAGGCAGGTTGTTAAAAACTTTTTTGTTTTCCTTTGTGTACTTTATTTAGGCACATCTTTTTCATGTAACTGATGTACCAAACCTTGGCATGGCATCTATATATAATTGTACTTTTACCAAAAAATGTTTTATTTTCCAGAGTTACTTTCCAGAGTTTCCAGATTATTGACTTTGGGGTCAAAAATCGTAACAACCAATGGCTAGCAATTTTAGAGGCACTACCAACAGGGATGCACTGAAAACTTTGAAAATCAGTTTTGTGTGGTCCATTGTGGGCAAAGGGCCACATATTGAGAATCAGTTACACAATGCTTTCTTTCCATGCAGATGTGAAAGCTGTATGTCTATCTACACACTACATTAAGGGAATATCTTAATGTTTTTTGAAAGAACTTTTTTAAACAATTGCAAACTTACAGAAAAGTTACAAGTTAAATGCCAACATCTTTTTCCCAAAAGAATTTATGAGAGCAAGTTTACGTGATTCTCCACTGCCTCCAAATATGTTATTATATATTTCCTACTAATAGGACATCGGTTACATCACTACCACTATTCCAAGTCAGTAAATGAATATTAATACATTACTACCATTTAATCATCAAACTCTATTAAATAAAGTATTGCTCCTTATCCCAATAATGTCTTTTATGACAGAAGGATCCAGTGCAGAATCATTCATTGCATTTAATTATCATGCTTCTTTTAGTTTCTTTCAAACTGGACCATTTCTTCTGTCTTTTCTTGGCATTCATAACATTGACATTTAAAAAAAATTTTATGTAATGTTTATTTATTTATTTTGAGAGAGATAAAAAGAGCAGAGGAGGGGCAGAGAAAGAGAGAGAGAGAATCCCAAGCAGGCTCCATGCTGTCAGTGCAGAGCCTGACATGGGGCTTGAACCCATGAACTACAACATCAGGACTTGAGCCGAAATCAAGAGTCAGATGCTTAGCCAACTGAGCCCCCAGGCAGCCCAATAACCTTGATATTTTTAAACATCATAGTCAGTTACTTTGCAGAAGGTCCCTAAATTTAGGGTTGTCTGATGTTTTCTTGGGATAAGACTTAGGATATGCATCTTTGGCAGGAATATCACAGAAATGATCCTGAGTTCTTACTGAGTTCTGTCAAGTGGCATGTCATTTTGATTCATCTCAATACTGATAATTTTTACTTTAATCACTTGATTAGTGTGGTGTCCGCCCAGCTTCTCTACTGTAAAGTTACTCTTTTGTTTCCCCTTTGAAAGAACTTTTAATATGTATTTTGTGTGGAAGAGGGTGGTGGCTTGAAACTATGTAAGTGTATGCCTTACTGGTCTTTCAATTTATTCATTTGTTTATATCAATATGGACTCATGTTTTCCTGTTTTATTCAGTGCATCATAATCTGTTAATATCATTGCTTGTTTTAAGGTTCAAGTTGTCTCCAATCTGGCCAATGGGAACACATTCAAGAAGGGTTCTGTTGTCTTTTTGACAGTGTTCTCATCATGAGTACTTCCTTGCTTTATGGCATAACAAGGTATTTCAGGTCCATCCTGTACTTTCCTTGCCCCAGTCATGGAATCGGTCATTTCTCCAAGGAATGCTGGTTCTTTGTAATGGAAATAATATTTAGAAGACATGAGCTGGGCTCTAGATATATTAGAGTGGTACTGTTAGAGTGTGGCTTTCCACGGGTGCTTTCAGTGGACACAGCTGCACACATGCTTATGTGTTTTGTCCTGTATTTCCTAATCTCTGTATGTTGGAAATCATGAGTCCATACCAGAGCATCCAGTTCTAATCTAACAGCGCAGAGTTCATTCTACACATTTGTAACTCCTTTTTCTGACAGAAAGAAACCCGTCTTTTGTACCTTTAATGCATTTTCTTCTTTGATCAGCCTTCCTGAAAGCAACCATTCTTTTATCTCCCTTGAATAGATACTCTCTTCTCCTTGTTGGAGCTCTGACTCCTCATTCTAGGCTGCCCCTTGCCCCATGTAGACTCTCCTTACCTTGCTGAGGCTCACACAGGCCTGGCCACCCCAGGCTTAAAGTTCCCCTGCCTGGCTGCCCTCTCCCTCCCAAGTGGACACCCTCCTCAGCTGGCCTGTGCTCTGACACCCCACGCCCACTGCCTCTGTTCTCAGATCCCCCCCCTCACTGGGCTCTGACACACTTTTCTGGGTCACTGAATGTGACCTTGCTGCTCTCAGACTCCGACTGCCATGGCTGAGTCACCTGCCAAATATGCACATTCTCCTTACTCTTTGGATTCTGACACCTCACATTGGGCAGCCACACCATGTAGACATCACTCTGCTTGGGCCTTGACTCCCCACACCAGGCCACCCCCTGAGGAGAAATCCCCCATGGGCTGTGTCCCACGTGGCCCATCTTCCTCAGCCCATTCAGGCTCTGACACCTGGTGCTTGACAGCTTGACAGCTCTCCTACTCACCATCCCCATCCTTCCTGGCTCCAGCACCTGGCATAGGTGCCCGTGGGGATGGGCTCTACCTAGTGACTTACAACTGAATTGTGCAGTAAGGGAAGGGAAAGAAGAAGGGCCAAGAGGCTTATACAAGCATTATCTTGAAATTGTCCTCTGAAATGTTATGTTCAGATCACTTTGTTAGATATTACAATGAAAATCAGAACACGAAGTAGAATTTGGCATATAAAAATCATTTTATTAGAATGTTTTTTATTTTAAATGAGTTTACTTATATGCCCTGAACTACCTTCATTGGTTAAATACTTTAAGATCAAACCAGAGATCAAGAGCCTAAAAGCTCCACGTCTGTTTTGGGTAAAAGCATTATCAGTTTAACATCATCCTGTCCTATTTTCTCATATTTGATTTTTTCGTTAACAATGGCATTGCTGTTTGAGTATGATGAGCCTTTACATGTGTTCTTATACACAGCAAAAAAAATTGCAAAATAGAAAAAAAATGAAAATGTATAATGACCTTAAATACACATGTTTGTAACTTGCTTTTTTTTCTATCTTGTTTAACTAGAGGAGTCTTCATTTTGGCTTCCCTTATACGGCAACATGTGCTGCCGCCTAGTTGCCCAGCCAGCGTGCGTGGCTAAGGATGTATTTGCAGGATTTCTACATCAGCAGGTTGGAGGACTTTGAATATCCTACAATTATAGCTACAGTCTAGATCTTAATATACTGTCAGTTTGGTCTTCTGATAATGAAAAGTATTATTTTTAAAGTGTTCCTTTAAATGGCCATTTTCCCAATGTTAGGCATAGAATGGGGGTGAGAAGGTGAGAAGGGGAGGGGTCTAATGCAGGCTTGATGGCTAAGGAGGCACTTCCAGGTCCCTCTGCTTCATAATGGCTGTAGCAGGACAATCAGCAGCAGGGACCCCTCGTGGAAGCAGATTAGGACTGTTCCCCACCTTTCAGAGAAGGCCTTCCTGGCAGACAGCTTTTGGCACACTTAAGGCCTCTGGGCTTCCAAAGTTGCTTCTGTGGCACCTACTCCTGATTTATTTATAACCACAGTTATTTACATGCAGTAAATAATTAATTACGGGCTTCAGTGAATCAATACCTTTTTAAAAAAGATTCCATTAAGAGGAAAGAAAATTTGCATTCTTACAGGGTAGTCAACATTTTCCAGTATTCTGAGAACAGTAAGGGAAAATTATATTTTGAGTATTGAGTTATTTTTATAATTTTTTTGAGTTATTAGATGGATTGCTGTGGAATTTGAAGCACTAATTTTTAATAGACTAGCTTTTCTAAAACTGCATTGATTTATGATCCTATATGTGTAAAAGTTATGTGGTAATCATTACCTCCATTTGCTTAATGCTTTTGAGAATTCCAAACCTTTCTTCTGTGATATTAACTTACTCTTTCATTTTGGACTATTGACTTATTGTACATTAAATTAATGGGTAACTCTATCACATTAAAAAAAATTTTTTTTAAACTAACATAACTTTGGTAATTTAAGTATTTTGTTGAATTTAATGTTAAGATGATAAATAATGATTAAGGTTGATGGCTTCTTGAATTTTTTTTCAGCAAATGGTAGAAAGCCTGATTAGTTGGAGAAGGTTGTACTGTGTTTTAAGAGGGGGTAAACTCTATTGTTTTTATACACCAGAAGAAATTGAAGCCAAAGTGGAGCCAACTTTGGTAGTGTCCATTAACAAGGTAAATAAAACACTGTTTTGAAAATAAAGACATAACATTTTATAGTTTGTTCTTTTCCATGCAATTCACATTATTGCCACCTTATGAAGAAAAGGGAAGGACTGCTGAAAATAGGTTAGTTCACAAAGATAAATTAATCTTCTCTTTTTCTTCTATTACAGTGCTTATCCAGTAAAGGAAATACTGTATATTTCCTAAGAAAACATAGTAATTGGAAATCTATACCAGTAAATAGATTTTAAAGCAGAGAATGTAACTCCACATTAACAGGATATTTAAATTTTTCATGAATTTATTTAAGAGATAATATAAACATAAACTGATAGCTCATGTTACAGTGATGCTTTTTCTAGAAAGTTAGTATTCAAATGAACCCATAAAAAGATATTCCCGGGTGTACTTCCTGATTTCTTAGGGGATTGATGGGCAGTTGTCCAACCTTCTGTCAGAAAAGGAAAGCCTGATTCTCTCTCTCCCCCTCCCCCCTTCTCTCTCTCTCTCTCTCACACACACACACACACACACACACACACACACACTCTTATCGCATGATCTTAAATTTATCTTCATCTGTTACCTAAATCCAGTGTTTATTAGAGGGTTCCTCCCCTTTTGGCATTCCTACTCTAGGGCACTTCTTGGCATTTCTAGAGCAGAGTATCATGTTTTCTGTCCATAGACTATACTTACTTGTTTCTAGTTGTTTTACTTTGCTTGTTTTTGCTTTTGGAGTGGTTGAATTGAAGTATCTGGTAAAATATGAGCCATCACATCTGTTAACTGTACATGTTCTGCTTGACTTGAAATTATCTTTTGAAAAAACATAAAGTTGTATGTCTTGAAAAACATGTGGATACTGTTTTACTAATCTATAAAGACTTGAGTTAATTTCTGTGATCATTTCCAATAATGACATTTAGTCCATTTCTATCCTGCTTTTAGAAATTATACTGCTTTTTCTTAAAGGAACTTCTTCAGTGAGACCTTTTACATTAAGGTCCACTTAATTGATCTGTGTTGTGTTTTAGAAAGAGTAGTGTTGCTCTTAAATAATATACCTCAATATTAAAACATAGTGAATTTATTTTAGTTTAGATAATTAGGTTGGTTTGTGAAAAGTATATTTTTTATTGGAAAATTGATATATTTTTTCATTACTTGCCAATGTTTTGTTTTGTCTTGTTTATGCAGTGTCCACTTTTGCCTGGTCTTTTGAAAATTGCAGATGTGCAGAAAAGTTGAAAGAATAGAATAACAAACACCTATATACTTTTCACCTAGAGTCTTTGGCTGTTGTTAATATGTTGCCATATTTGCTTTCTCTTCACATAGTTTGAGAATTTTTTCAGAACCATTTGAAAGTAAGTAGCCCACAGCATAACATTTCTTTCCTGGAATATTTCAGTATGTTTCAGCTAAAAACAAGGACATTTCCTTCATGACCATATTATTTATCACAGTCATGAAATTTACTGTTGATAAAATATTATCTAATATATAGAGAGCAAATTGTCCCTAAAATGTTCTAATTTTTCTTTATTGTTTGATTAAGACCCCCATCAAGGATCACAAACTGCAGCTGGTCACCAGGTCTTTTGATTGTTTCCTTTTTACCTGAATTGGACCCATCACTCATTGCCTCTTTTTTCTTTTTTTGTCTTTTACTGTATTGACATTTTGTAAAAATCCAGGCTAGTCCCTAAATCTGTTTTTGACTAATTGTTTCACTAGATTCGAGTAAGTATTTTTGGCAAGAGTTCTGAATAGATGATTTTATCTAACCTGGTTTTCACTAGGTAGCTAGGTAGTGAAAAATGGAATTCTACCGATTTTTTTCTTACATGTTGTGCAATGGAATATGGATAGTCAGACAACAAATTAAAATGTAATCTAGACAGATGATATTTTAAATTCATTTATTTTATTTGAAAACAGTCTTCAAGGTATTCATTTTACCTTATCAGTCCTTTATGGTAGACAGAGCAGGTAAGTCAGCCCTGTTTTATAGGTATGTTATTTCTGTTTTACAAGTGAAGAAACAGACTCACAGATCAGATAGAACTTGTCTAGCTAGTAAGTAAAATTATATGGCTCACTGTTTTTCTGTTTCCTTACAGACATACTGCTAGACTAGATTTGGAAGGCAAAATTAGACTTTTTCCCATCTCTGTACCCACTCTGAATAAGTTATGAGAGTAAAAACAGCTCTGAAGTGACGTTTTGAGTCTGAGGCCACAGTTACTACCTACCTATAGGCAGTGGCTTAGACACGTATTGAATCTTTATCATTTAAATTTAAGGGGCGCCTGGGTGGCGCAGTCGGTTGAGCGTCCGACTTCAGCCAGGTCACGATCTCGCGGTCCGTGAGTTCGAGCCCCGCGTCGGGCTCTGGGCTGATGGCTCAGAGCCTGGAGCCTGTTTCCGATTCTGTGTCTCCCTCTCTCTCTGCCCCTCCCCCGTTCATGCTCTGTCTCTCTCTGTCCCAAAAATAAATAAACGTTGAAAAAAAAATAAATAAAATAAATTTAAGAGGCAGTTATAATGGAACCCCTTTGTTACTGTAACCAGTGTATTTTCTTGTCTGATGACAAGGGTGTAATTCCAAAAAAGCAGTTAACAGTGTTTACATGGTCTGGCTGAATTAATCTTTTTTCAATTGACTCATTTTTCCGTGTAGTAATAAAAGCTGGTGGCCTGGTGACTGATAGGATTCTGTAGTCAATCAGCTCCATTATTAAGATGACTAAAATCACCATACTTAGAAATCCCAGTGGTGGTTCCACAATTGACCATTACAAATTCACAGGAAAATGATTAATCTAGTAATTTGTATAACCTCAGCCTTAGACTTGGGGCAGTATGGGCTGTATTTGACCCTGATGACCGATGACATAAATTGTCATTGCACATGACTTTTGTCTAAAGTACAAAAGAGAATTTTAAGATTAAACCATGAGGTAAGGGTTAGGTCGAGAAGATTAATATAATTTAGTTGCTGATCTCAAAGATTAAACTGATAACACAGTCTTCCATTCTCTAGCTTTGTGACATTGCTGTCTTAATTTTCTCCAGGACTGATTCCTGCCCTTTCTCTGTAGCAGCTTTTCTCTTTGCAGTTCCTACTTCTACCTCAGGCTTCTTTTGAACCCTTCCATTTACCTGAAAACTTCACTTTTAACAGTAAATGCCCTGGTCTTCTTGTTTAAATATGACTATCTCGGTCAAGAAATGTATTTGTTACTTCTGTAAACCTGGCCGTTATGTAATTACATCTCCTATTTAAGTAATTTTTACTTATTTTTTTCTCAACTTAGAAAATTATTCAAATTTATAGAAAAGTTGTAACAATACTATAGTGACACTTTCATACCACCTAGCTTTAACAGTTACCATTGTTGTCATCTTTGCTTTATCTCTTTTTTTCTTTTGGGGGGGAGTTTAAATGTTTTTTAAAATTTTTTTTAATGTTTATTTATTTTTGAGAGAGAGAGAGAGAGAAAGAGAGTGTGTGTGAGCAAGCGAGGGGCAGAGAGAGAGGGAGACACAGAATGGAAGCAGCATCCAGGCTCTGAGCTGTCAGCACAGAGCCCAATGCAGGGCTCGAACCACGAACCATGAGAACATGACCTGAGCCAAAATCAGACACTTAACTGACTGAACCACCCAGGCGCCCCATAAACTCTTTGTATTTAGTTTTAATTTGCTTTATGATGGTATAGTTGACATAAAATAAAATTCACCAGTTATAAATGTACAATTTGATAATTTTGACAAATAATATACAGTTGTGTAATCATTACTACAATCAGTATTGGATTATAGGTTTTTTAAAGCTTTTTTGTGACAACATTTAAGTTCTACTCTCTGAGTAAATTTTAAGAATACAGTGGTGTTATCAGCTATAGTCACCCTCAGATCTTATTTATCTTACAGCTATAAGTCTGTAAAGTCTCTTATCTATATTTTTTGCTGACCATTTGAACATAAGTCTCCAACATTGATACTTTATCCCTGAATACTTCAACATGCAACTCTTAAAAATAGGAGCCTCTAAAAAAAAGTGTGTTGTGTAGGTGAAATTACAATACCATCATCACAGCTAGCCAAACTGACAATAATTCTCTTATAACTTCTAATATCCAGTCCATATTCAAATTTCCCCATTTTCCCTAAAGTGTCCTTTTAGCTTTTACTTTCAATCTAGGAACATTCAAGGATTGTGCATTCTTCTCAACTGTAAATTAGGTCTAGAGGTTTGCTTAGATTCATTCTAAACATTATTTACAAGAATATTTCATGCATAATGACAAATACTTTACAGGGCATTCTGTTCAGAGGTACATGATGCTGGGTTGTCTCATTTTGGCAATGCCACATTTAATGACTTGGTTAAGGTGGTGACCACTAACTCTCTCCTGCATAACGGTAAGCCATCCTCTTTACTATTAGCAAGTAATCAGTGAGGTGATAGTTTGGCACTGTTTGTATATCTTTGTTGTCCAGTAGTCTTTCACATAATGGTTTTAGCGACCGGATTGCCCTTGTCTGAATCGGTTATCACACTGGAGATTGCATATGTTGTTCTCACAATACCCTTCATTCTACATGTATTAGCTGGCATTCTTTATAAAGAAGGACTTTTTCTCATCAAGTAACAATGAATTCCAGTCCCTCCTGAAATGGCAGGATAAAAGCTTACTGTTTTAATTACCAATTTTCAGAGTAAGGAGTTGGTATTTTGGTCTTGTATTGATATTGGCTGTATGTATTGGAGCAGCATTACTCCCTCCAGAAGAAGCAAATGAATGTTGTGTCTATTGTGTTCCCCCCCGGATAATGGTAAACTCATAGATTTTTATTTATTCAATGCTTTAAATTACTTGATCTTAAAATATAAGGTAGGTATTTTAATTGTTTGACTTTGGAAATTTCTATGGGATACATGCTAAACAGGATCTTTGATAAATGCCAACTTGGTATTTTCTGATATGTAGAGCAGG